ATAATAAAGGCCTCCAGAAGATTTTCCTTTCTCTTTTTCTTCTTTTTGCATGCTGCAAAACAGAGCAACAGAGTGATTCTACTGATAGTGGCATGAAAAAACTGCAACCAGAGGCCTTTGTCCTGAAATTGCAGAGGATTATTGCTGTATAAATGAATACAGCTGCATATGTAAAATGCTTTTTTGAAATAATGACTACTTAGGAACTCTGATTTATCACGTGGAAAGGATCTTCAGTTTCTATTCAGCTAATTTTACTGCAGAACTAGCCAACTGGAAAAGTAGCTGCTAAATACTCACAGCAGTAGTATTTCATAGACTGTGTCAATATGATAAAAGATTCTATTGGTTTTTCCATTGCTAAACAAAGGACACGTTTCTATGAAGGTGCTGGAACAATATATAGAACTCTCTTTTCTGAAAGAGCAAGTTTGAACAAAGATGACATGGTGGAGCTGTGGTTAGCATTGCTGCCTTGCAGCCCTGGGGCGGGGGTGCTACAGTATCTGCATAGAGTTTTTATGTTTTTCCCATGTTTGCATGGGTTTCCTTCCACAGTCCAAGATCATGTAGGGTTAATTGGCTTCCTGGAAAATGGAAAAATTGATGTGAGTGTGTGCATGTGTGTGTCTTGCAACGGACTGGTGTCCTGTCCTGGGTGTATCCTGCCTTGCGCCTATTGTTTGCATAGATAGGCTTCGGCAACCCAACAACCCTGTATTGGATAAAGTGGTTAGAAAGTGTATGGATGAACAAACAAAACTGTATCTCAGGAGAATTATATTTTTGCGTCTCTGTCACATTATCCTGCTTTAGAGAAAATCTGCACATTCTAAACACATTTCTTATAATTCATTTCATATGAATATCTGTTTTAATAGCTTATAGCTCTGCTCTAACAGAACACCACATTTTAAAGTGCCTGATAATGAACCAAATGTAAGATTGGGCACACTTCTGAACATGCAATGAATTCTCTATCATAAGAAAAACAACCAAATGAACAACAATTAAATTATTTTCAAAGCCAGTGTATAAGACTTTATAGAGCTCTGGTCAAACAAATGTGAAGATCTGAAAGGGTAAGTGATTTGCTACTGTGTAGTGTAATTTACGTCAGTTAGGATTATCCTATAAATATTGTATATTAGGATTTACCACAACTAGGTACTCTGTGTTAACATTCCAATTGGGTTCTCTTTTTGTTTGCTTAACATAAAATGATTTAGCGGATGTCACGGCAAGACATTAAACTAGAATGAATACAGGTATTATTTTCCCTGATCTGAACAATGCTATTCGTAGTCTCTGTTCAAGTCAAACAGTAGTTCTGCAATGTTAAATAATGGATTTTCAGCTCACACAGCTTTCTTCAAATCACAGAGAGCCCCAGTGAACTGTGTGGGCTGAGTGAATCGGGCTTCACAGAATTAGGCAAATGTCTTATTTTATTTCCAAATTGACCTGTGTTAACACAGCTTATTTTAGAATAGCAGATAAAAGAGGCTTCTGGGTAATACAAAGAAGACTGCATGGAGCTTCTTTCTTTAATGACAGTAGTGTCATGTGTGTTGGAGACATAGATTAAGTTGAATGGCATGTTGTCATCTCATGTCATGTCATGTCATTCGCCAAACCGCTTTATACCATCTGGCGGAGGGTCGGGGGGAAAAAGGGGAAACAGGACCAGGCGCTCCAGGTCCCATACTCCACTGGTACTGGAAACCAATGCAGAGCCCGGAACAGAGTGAGCGTCTGGCTTAAGTAGGGAGGCAGGAACTGGGAGCAGGTGCACAAAATCAACTCAAATGTGAAAGAGCCGGAGAGCCCTTAAGTGGGACAAACTACAATCGTGACTGCAACAAATGCAAGGCAGGGTACACCCTGGACACCCTGGACGGCTCTCCAGTCCATCCCAGGGCAAGTGCAAGCCAATCATACAATTTGGAGGCCACGGTAAAGCCAGAGGGGGGAAATTTGGCCTGGGACACCGAATAACTCCCTAATCTTATTGAGAAATGCCCAGGGATCTTTAATGAGCACTGAGAGTCAGGACCTCAGTTTAATGTCTCATTTTAAAGATGGACGGCATGTTGTTTATGGGTTAAATTAACAGACCAATGGAAAGTAAAAAATTGACCTGTTTGGTACTGGTTTGCACTTTGTATTGCAAAGATAGGTAAATGTTTTGTTATTTTTTTACTCAGTTTAGTCATTTTCTTTAACTTTTCTCTTACACACCTGACTTAGATGCAAAACCAACAATTGGTTTTATAGGGATCATCAATATTACAAACTCTTGTACAGAGCATCAAAACAAACATATTACTGAAAAATAAAGTATATAAATATTGGATATTAATTAAATGTTCTTGCCATCTTTTTGACTAATTGATACTTCTGAGACTGTAATACACTTAAGTGACTTCAACGGTTGTATAATCACTAAATCACCTAATTAGTGAGATAGTCAATTGGACACAGGTGATGAGGTGGTTTTAATGTCAAACCTTGTAAAAAATCGAAAGAGAAAACCACAGAAAAGAACCAATATTAAGAGGATCTTTTATCAAGGGAACAATGCCTTCATGCAATCAATATGTTGGAAGCTGGACTAAATGAATTCATGTGGACATGAAGGCAGTGATGCCAAATCCTCCGTAACAATGAATCAGGGTTTTGTGTAGCCCCCCCTGATAGATTTCTGCGAACGTAGTAGGGATGTGCAGAGTGTCATGCCAAGCGCTGTGTACAACAGATCGATCAACAGGAAGATCCAAATATGATGGTCTGGGCAAGAGTGTCCGGTCGCTACAGCAATCCCCTTATAACACATCCCAACTGCACACTACTTCTCTGATGAAGTTCTGGGGCATCGCTTGTTGCTCCTCCTGTGGACTCATCCAGCTGTGATAACATTCCAGACAGCCAAAGTGAGTCCTCCTGTTGCTTGTGTAACAGCTTTCTCTGAGTATGCGACAGTGGTGTCAACAATGTCCTGCTTCCAAACCTTGAGCCCTATGGAGCATTAGTGGGATGAACTGGGATGATGTGTGCCATTTTAGAGCTCAGAGACAAGTGATCTGACCCATGCTTGACCAGGATTTACACAGGCAATGTAACATGTCAAGATTTTAAGCTTGAATTCTTTCCAGCAGGGGCCACACACACTGGTAGCCTGTGACCCACTGTTAATCAGAAAAATTAACTTATCAATGTTGTGGCAGTCAACCTGCTGCAAAATGTTTTTTTGTCATAATTGATGCTATGTTTACAATTAAAAGTTGATTAAATTCATGTCAGTTTTTTAAGAAGATGCTATGTCAGTAATTTTTGTTGCTTATGGCGGACACTCCCTGGTTCCTTACCAAGATGATGTAATTATGTATGAGTGCATTTCAAAACATATTAATTATATGCACAACATGCTTTAGAAGAGGAATAAGAGCACTGGAAGTAATTACTATGACAATGAGTGATGTTTATTGTTGCCATTTGTGAAAAAAAAAACACAATGAAATTAATTAGCAGCATTTGTTTCTATTTAATATCTCCAGTGTCAGGTTTTCATTAAACATAGAAAAGTAAATTGCATAGGGATAAAGCTGACACATTATTCGATTTTTGCATTATTTTAATCTTAAGATAGATGGCTTTATAAAGAGTCCACAAGCAAATGTGTTGATTAGTCGTCATGTACAGGAGACCAAGTAGTTAAGAAACATTTTGGTTTCCACAATAAATGCTACAGTGAAGGAGGAGGTGGGGGTGGGGGTTGGAGTATGCTGAGATGAGCTTTGATTAAGACCTTCCCAACATTAAGAGCAAAATAAGACTGACTCCATGGATGGTCTTTCTAATTTAAGACAACCAGCAAAATCCAGAAATGCAGGAGAAACTTACTGTAAGTTAGCATTGTAGATGTTGAAGTGATAAAATTGGGTAAAAAAGGTAATACAAAGAACCGATTGTGAATCTGTTACAGTTAATCACACAGTAGAGTATGGAAGTAGAAGCATGGGCAGATGATATACTGGATCCATGATTTTCCTGGGTGCAGGTGAGTTGACAGGCTCATAGAGACTAGCAAATACTCATTTCTATTTCTGTATCCTCCGTTGTTAAAAGCTATCCTGGAGGCTTGTGGCTCATCATGTTTGAGCTCATCTCAGATTTCGTGGTGTTAAATGGACTAAGATTAGATGACTTTGTTGTATATGACACTAGCCCAAGTAACTCCAGCCATGCTTGTGTCCATTCATATGGGGTACTTAGAGTCTACATAAGAAAATCAAATCCACAATCTTCCAGCTAGTACTCTATTGCTGCCCCTCAATTGTTATCCACTAAAACCTCAGTTTTTCTTATTACCATGATAAATCTGTCCAGTAATACTGCATGGGTTCCAAGATGTACATGTACCACAAGGATGTGGTTTTTAATTTTCTCTGCCATGGCAAAAATATTATCCATCTGGGTTTAATGTTTCACTGTGATTCTGCTGCACTCTGTCGTGTTTATTTCAAAATACACCATAGAACACCTTTAGAAGGGAACCCTTGAAGGAACACATTGAAAATTTCAAGAAGACCATAATATGTCAGGAATCTGAGTTCGATCAAGAGCTGTCTAACCAGATTTTTGGATTACATATGGTAACTGTTAATTTTGGATGCTATGGCTTTAACTATTCAACAAAGTGTGTTTATTTGCGCAGAAAACGAGGCGAAACATTTGTACCAATTGACTTTTTTTTTACATTATTTGTTGTGTTTATCTTCGTTGCAAAGTTTTAATTTGTCAAAATAAATTGGAGTAGTGTTCAAGGGTACTTTTATTTCGATGTATGTACATAATGCGTGTTATTCTCCTCATTTTCTACTAAGTTTCACTTCTGCCCCAGCTCCAATAAAGTCCGTACAGCATATATTTGCGCTACGGGATCGTCTGTCCTTTGTTAAGTTGTTTTGCTTCTGCGATCATTGGCTGTCCACGTCCGGAAGCACGCATTTGCTTGTTTCCCGGAAGTGAGCGGCGCTGTTTTTGTTGCCAGAGGGACTCCTGTGTTGTGAAAATGGCGGCGTCTCGTCGCTCGTCTCATCAGCAGCAACAGAGCCTGTCGTCCCCTCCGCGGAGCTCCTCTCTCTCCCCGACTCCCCCAGGTTCACCTCTTGCTCCTGCACCCGCAGGGGCTGCAGCCACGGTCCCGGTTGGCGCCGACCAGGACAGCAGCGGGGAAGCGGAGATCACGCCGGCCTCCCCCGATCTCCCCGCTCCGGCCCTTAGCAGCAGCAGCAGTACTGCTAGCAGCAGCGGCGGCGGCGGCGGCGGCTCCACGACGACAACCACCGGCGGGGGCAGCAGCAGCAGCAGCAGCAGCAGCGGCGGCTCCAGCCCGGACTCGGGCACTGCAAGTCCGGGAGGTAGCGGCGGCGGCGGCGGCGGGGGGGCGTTTAGGGAGCTGTTTGAGGCCTGCCGCAACGGGGATGTGTCCCGGGTCAAGAGGCTGGTGGACTCGGGGAACGTGAACGCCAAGGACATGGCCGGGAGAAAATCCACCCCGCTTCACTTCGCGGCCGGTCAGTATTTCGCTGTGTGTGTGTTTGATTTGTTTTCTATCGCTTGACATTTGAAGTCGCTGTTAGGATATGTAAGGGCAGCCCTGGAGGGTGGTTGAAAACCCGCAATAAACGATTAAAGCGCTGATGATCGACAATTCTAATCGAGAAAATAGGAGGGGGGGGTGGATCAAAGTAACTGGAAATCCACGCTTCCATCCGGGAGGCTGCAGCTGCTGTGGAATTCGTGTCTTTGCACATTAGAGTTGCTTCCGTTTTTTCGATGAGGTCGGTGGAGTGGGCAGCGTTGTGGTGGTTTAGCCGATGAACGCGGATGCCTTTTAACTGGAGTATAACTTTGCGGCGAGACTTCGCTGGTGTTTAGCCCTCATCTGCCGAGTCTGGGGGTCGTGCCAGTTTGAGGAGAGGCTAGTAACACCTGAGCGAGCATAAGCTGTCACGCCACTCCGCGACGTGTCTGAATTAGTTCGCGCGAAGCTCTGTTATCCCATCTGGGTTTTACGAGGAGAGATCCGTTCAAAACAACGTCTGAACTGAAGTTTGGGAAGTTGGGTTGAGCGTTTAAACGAAGCCCAGGCCGTGCGGGTGTCCGCATGTTGTGTGCGCGCTGCGGGAGCGGCAATCCGTGAAGTTGATTATGGAGAGCTGTTTTTTTTTTAACACGGAGATAAATAACTTGTGCTGTCAAAACGTGACTTTTCGTCTGTCATTTGTGGGGAACACAAACTTTTCAGGGCGTGTGATTGCAATCAAGATGAGACCGATTTTGCTTCATTTTCCACGTATTTACAAGCAAAGAAAAATCTAAACTTATGTTGAGATACTGAGAATACTGTCTTTGAGAACCCACCCTTTAAAGGTGCTATATAAAATAAAGTTTATTATTATTATTATTATTATTATTATTATTATTATTATTATTATTATTATTATTATTACTGGGAGATCACATGAAAATTACTTTCCAGTTTAGGCCTTGTCTGGGTAAATGCTTGTGACAAATGGTCCAACACGTGCTGAAAGACCTGTCAGCCAGTGTGATTTATTTTGCTGTCTGTAGTCTGACACACCTGCTCAGATAAGGGGGCAGAAAAGACCCCAAGTCTAAGATTTTAAGACCACCATGTTGGGTCCTCCTGAATGGACCACATTGTCCTGAGAAAAGCCTAACAAAAAGTCAGTACTATTTTAATGTACCATTATTTAATAAATTCAAGATCAGATGTCAAAACCTTCCATTTGTGTTGCTTTTATTTGGCTGTAGAACAGCAGGTATGTGTATTTATAGCTGCAACATGCCAGGACACGCCAGGGTGTTTTTCTACAAAAAGGTGCAAAATGTGCACTTTTGCCAATTTGCAGTTAGGAACCTTTTAGAAAGTATTAAAATATTCAAAAGTCCCACAACCAAAACTTTGACAACTCTATTTTTCTCAGCTTCCCTTGTGGTAGCTCTTATTTTGTACTTCAGAAAAAAACTACAAAAGAAGAAAAAAGTGTGGAGGTTGTTCCAGAAATACATCTGGCAATCCAGGTGTATGGCAGTTTGAACATTTCTCAGGCCCTTTCTCTGCGTACGTCTTGTCTAGCAGCTGACATGGGTGGTGATAGGAACATAACATGAATAACTTTAACATCCATCCCGAGACTTTTCAGAAACTCTGAGAGAATTCCTCAGATCTTGCTTGATAAAATTCAGAGCTACTTCACACCAGAGATGTATTTTCTTTCATATACCTGCTTAACTGTCCGAGTCTGAGGGATTGTCAAAAGTACTTCACTGACAGTGCAAAATAAACGAAAGTGCCAGTATCTTCCAGTGTTATAATCACATTGGTTGGCAAAAGAATCACCAGAATATGACAATCACTACAGAGAGCTTGGCTTTTCTCTGGATTACACTTGATGACTGCACCTTCCTGTGTTATATGAAAACTGTCTCTAAAACCTGGCATATGACCTAGTGAAAAAAGGACTGTAAACTGGATATTATCAGCGCTTCACAGTCTTCTGCTCAGGTACTCCTTCCTTGCAGAAAACGTGGTCAACATGGGTGAAAGCATACATTTACAGATGTAGAATGTCTACTGCATATTCAGTATATGTGTATATAGATATAATGCTGAGACCCTTTCCTACTTATTTTTCTTTACTTGCCTTGGAGTCATGGGGGGGCAACACAAAATGTTAAGCTCAGGATAAAAGTGTTTGGCACACATGCCAGTGTAGGGATTCTGCAGCCCTGTCTGGTCAATCAGCATTTAATGTTGAAGAAAACACTTTATTTAAAGAAAAAGACAGCATCATGTTTTTTTTTCCATCTCACTCGCATAAAACCTATTATTTGCGGATTCTTACTTAATGTAGAGAAATAGCCGAGTTGTTTTATGTTGTGGGAACAAATAGAATTATTCCGATTTTCAAATCCTTCTTCCTGACTGGATTCAAACTCTTTTTAAGTTTTTCAGTTCGGGCCATAATTGTGAATGGATTGTGTATATTAACCAATGAGTGTGTAAATCATGAAATCATGTCCCCTTAGTTTCACAAAAATCTGTTTTGGCACAGTTCTGATTTTCATTTTTATTATTAGCTGTTCTTAGATATTTTGTCCAGATAAGTGCAGTTCAAGGCATTGCACATCGGCCCTGTTCGTGTGACAGTTGATCCTGAATTGCAGAAATATGTATATGACTGGCTCTTATGAGCAGCTGGCCTCAGTTTGGAAAATCCTTGTCTTAATGGGGGAGGTTAACATGTTCCCTTCTTTTCTCTTGGGAGAAGGTCTACAAAGTCAAAGTTTGGAAACTGCTGACGTGAGCCAATTTTTTTGCGATTGTTGTTGTTTTCCACAAGGAAACGAGATTTATTGCAGAACCCTTTATCCGTGAGAAAATGTCTGGCCGAGATATCCATTTCGGAAAGGAATGTGCTCGTGCTGCCCTTCTGAATAGTCCTTCTCAATACTGCCCTGTTTGCTCAACAAATTAGAGGCATCCTGCGTCTCGGTTGGCATTCAGAATGACTTTGTTGAAAATGTGATCCATCATTGCTCTTAATATCTGGGAATATTCAATACCTTACACCCATATTCCTTTAAAAAAAGGTTTAGGAATTTTATGAAATTATGATGTAGGAATTCTGCAACCTTTTTCTTTCTCTTTGTTTTACCTTGTTGGTATGAGGGCAAATCTTTTTTCCTTTCATAAATTATTTGTTTTGGAGTGCCATGGCTGATACAAAGCTCACATATGTGCATTTGAATTGACAGCTGTTTTTATTCTTGATCTAGTCTTCTCTTGGTTTGGAAGATAGACCAAAAACTGTTAATTATATTTGGTATAGGTTCTGCTATAGCTGTTTATTGCTGTATTATTTTCCTCTTGATTTATGTGGCAAAAGAAAAGCCTCAGATGAGAGAAGGCCATTCAGCCCCTCAAGACTGTTTGGTAGTTAGTAGTTAATATAAGGATCTCATCCATTCATTTCTTTGGAATAAACCTGGGAATTGTCTTCATCAACCCAGATGGCTAGCATATGCTAGAACAGTTTGGGTAAAGAAGTAATTTCTTAATTTCCACTTTTGTACTCTGGTTCTTGTTTCAATGTTCATTCTGAAGAAATCCACTGGATTTCTCAAACATGTTAAGTATTGAAGGGTAAACATGCCTGTGATTTATTGATGTAAAGTCAATATTGTGTCTAATATATCTAGTACCTAGAGTCTACTTTTACAATCTCTGTTATGTTTTAAGCAACTGTAGTTGGCTTTGTATGCTTTTAGCTATAGTATGTTTATATTGGCATTTGATTCAGAGGTTAAAAAATAAGTTAACAGTTGAATACTTGTTAGTCTCCTTGCTGTTTGTCACTCCATTGCCCGTGCATTACTTTAAGTGCAGATCCCTTTCATGGTGAAATGAGCTCGTATACTTTCCTTACTGTTTTAATCAAGAATCATTTGCTCTGCTTTAGTGTTGCCAACTTCAACTCCAGAGCTGAAAGTTGCCAGTTTGCTTTTCTGAAGCAAATGTCACCAGATTTAATGATTAAATAGCATATAATTTTTTATCCCTTTGCATTCAGCGATATAAAGTCTGCTTTATCTTAGATGAATGACTGCAATGCGGTGTAATGTTCTTCCTATGCATCTCAAATTATAGTACTCCTGACGGAGATTTCTTTGCCCTTTTTTTGCTTTTTAGGATTTCTGGTGTTTGCGTCTATCTGTCCATCTTCCAATTTCATGTGGAGGAATTAATTCGTTGTGTTCAGTAGTACACAAAATGTAGGGACATTACGGTCGAAATGTTATGCTAATAAGCTTCCCGTTACCAAAATGTAGAATTATACTTTTTGCGTCGTTTTGCAAACAGGCAAATCCTCAGTTGCCATGAAAATAATTAGGCTGCTTGTGATGTGAAATTGTTACTAAAACCCCTTTAGCTTCATAGATTTCTGTGACTGATTCTTCAGGTTGTTTATACAGTTTTGTAATGCTACAGTACATTATTACCCTTGTGTAAGCAAGATAAAATTAGTAAAATATTTTAAATATATATATATTTAAAGATTTTATAAAGTAATATAGTTGATTATCCAGTGGTTTGCATGGATTAAATAAAATCAAAGATGCAAAGCAATGAAAATGTAGCGGATGTACTAGGAAAACGTTCCCAGGGCAGAGGCTGGCAGCTCATCTGAAATGTCAACTTTTTGCTTGCTGTGAGAAAATCCACAGGATTGTTTAAGGATTAACCTTGTTAGTGTGCTCATGGAGCAACAGTGTGAAGCAGTGGAGAGAGCACTGGCGTCACAACTAACAGTGCAAGAAAGCTGATATGAGGCCATTTGGCCAAGTTAGTCCTGCTGGTAGTTAATAGCTAATTGATCTTGAAATCTCATCAAACCGAGTGGTGGCTCTGTGGATAAGGATCTGCGCCTGTGGCTGGAAGGTTGTCGGTTCAAATCCCACAGCTGGCAGTGGAATCCTTCTCCGT